TCTTAGAGAAAATGCAGACGCAAAGTAATTCATCAAAGTGATCTACTAAATATATATCGTTCAAGTACAGTTACATTAAATCAGATTTAATGTCAGTAAAGTGCACTTACGGATGAAGTCTGCAGGGTTGTAATGCGGCAGCAAGTTAAGCCCTATCGTAGAGAAGAATCTGCCGATATTCGCCGTCGAACCGTAGTACGCCACCTGACCGCGACTCAGCAAGAGAAGCTTACTGAAACTGTGGAACATCCTGGAACTAGGTTGGTGCACCGTCACCACGATGCTCTTACCCTCCTGCTCGGCGTATTTCTTTAACCGCGAGATCAATGCTTGCGCCGAGTGCGAGTCGAGTCCGCTCGTGGGTTCCTGAAGTTAAAAAATTTTCGCAATTCATTAAAGATATCGAGAAAAATCAATAAAATCTTACGGAAATTTTGATTCGCGTTAATTCGATTCGTTATTTATTCATTCTATAAACATTGTATTTAAGCGTCGTTTTCGATATGCAACACGGATATTTCGGTACGTTTTTAACATTAAATTTGTGATTTATTTTACGATTTTCAACTTCCTTTCTATAAATCGTTAAAGTCTTCTATTTTCGTGCTACTAAGATTCGTATGCTCACGTTTCAACAGATCTCTCGTCCGATAGATTTACGGTCTCATCGTGACTAGAATCTTGAAAATTTGGAAGTCTCTACTTGAACACTTTTTAGTTCATACATCACGAGATTTGTGAATTTATAATTCTACATATATTTCATTCTAAGTATCTTCTACTTTACAGTTCCTACATGTCATGAAATTTTACATTGGTGGATTATACAAAAAAATAGAAAAATTTTATTTTACAAATGTGATATGGTTTGTTTTAAAATTAGATATACATACATATATGAATTTCAGACTCCATAAATTGTTTCAGTTTTATGATAATCATTTATTCAGATTAATTTGTAATAAATATCTGTAGATAATTGCATGTGTATATAATTTTACTGCATGTAACATATTCATATGAACACATGATACACATTAATTCTTGCAAATTTAATTATGTAATTATTATTAAATAATTTTTAATATGTAAATAACTTAAGACATACACGCGTAGCTTACGAAAAGAAATATAAAAGAAACTTACGTCAAGTAGCATTAATGATGGATTCGTGAGTAATTCACAAGCTATACTCGTCCTCTTCTTTTCACCACCAGAAAGTCCTCGTTTCGTATAATCTCCAATAACTATACAAGAGAGATATTGATGTATATGTGTATATTGGAGAAATAACATTTCCTAACATTAAATATAAAGACCTGTCATACGAAAGATATGAAAAATGTAGACAATCACAATTATTATATCACACGTTTCACCGAAGCAGAGAAAAAGGACATTTGAAAAATTCAACAGTACGACGCGTATTGCACAATAAAGCATGAATTTTATCAGCGTATGAAGCTGCAAATAACGAAATCACGAGTATCAATATATCGATGAAAAATATCGGAATACAAGAAGAATAACAGTTTTTTTTATAAAATCAACAGTATTGGCATTCGATATTGCAGTACCGATGTTTGTCAACAGCAGCTGAAACTAATGAGATGCAGGCGCGTGATCTCTGCCGCGAGTTGTAAATTATTAACTTCATCGTCGTCGTCGGTCGCTCACGCCTTCGGGATACAGGAAGAGAAACGAGCGTAATTGTGTGCGGGCAATAATATTTTACGTCACGCGGTCGAGGCGGCGGTTCGCGCTCGACGCTGGAGAAGCTCGGGGGTTAACGATCGAGGAAACCGTTTATCAACGACCGACAATGAGTCCAACACTTCACAGAGATACGTGTCCGTACTTTCCCTCGTTTGTATTCCGGAAAATGTCACTGCACTTCCGTTACATTCGATTTTGACGTGGCCGAACAAAGCGGCAACGCAGAACGGCCGACAAATTCACCATGTGGGTGAGAATTCTCAATAAATTCGCAGCTTTAGTTTTATTCTAATGAAAATAACTGAGTACCAATAATTTTAATCGGGAAATTTATCCTGTCAAACTAAAATTTGAAGTATCCCTAGTAAATAATAAAATATTATTATTATTCTTATCAATGTTATTATTGTTAAATAAATAATCTTGTTCTTCAATTAAAATCAAGTAGATTTTTTAATTTAAATATCAATGATCAAAGTCAAAAATAAAAAAATATGATAATCACCAATCAAATTTTCAATAATAAAAAAACTGATTCTACACAAGTTTGAAAATACTTTGAAAAAAGTATGGCGTGCAGCACGCATGTAAATCAGTCTCTAATCAGTACTATATTATCAGTACTTATTATTTTTCCAATATACATTTTTGATAACCATAGCGCGGCGATTTGATACTCGTGATCAGGGAAAATGTCAATCAAAATGTTAAAGGCAATCGCGGCGACAATACGATAACGATAAGAGCCGGTCACAGCTTAAACTTATCTTCTGTTTTAATCTACATTATAATCCGTGGTATAATATTGTGATTGAAAAATCATTGTGAAATTTTGTAGGATGTTTACTTAGATCAGATTTAAATAATTCTGTGAATAAACAAGTCTAATTTTATGAACTAATCTTTAATTCCGGGCGTATTTACATCTAATTTAAATTTTATATAAAAGATAAAAAGATTTAATGTAAAGCAGTGGTGTGAATGCGGCTACTTGTTGCTCCTCATATACATATTCTCTTTTTAACAAAAACAAGTGCAAACTGGGTTAAATCGGACTTAATCGTGCGCAGAACGATGCAAAGTGGCTCAATCGTGGGCGCAAGTTAGATCGCGGGATAACGACGCTTCTAATATCACGAATCGACTCTTTGTTTACGATACGTGCAAACGAACTTTACGATACCACTGGGAATCCGAGCGAGTTACGATCGGCGGAATTCTCGGATCGTGATTTCCGAATCGCGAGCGGTCCCCGCGCGCTCGCGGACGTCTAAAAACGTCGCGGATCGACATCGATCTCTCGACTTTACGGCGCGCGATACCACGTTTGATACTCACTGGTGTCTTGGCAGGCCGCGAGGTCGAGGACCTCGATGATATGGTCCACGCACTGCATCTTCTGGGAGTGTGAGAGCGTGTCCGGGAGCCTCAGCCTCGCCTGGTACTGCAAATGCAAATTCACGATGCGGTTCGTATGCGCGCATTTTTTAAGGCGATCGGTTTAAAGCCACGCCCGCGGCCCGGTTTAACGCGCTCTGACGGGCCGCGTGCGTGCATTAAACGGCAAAATGTAAACAAAACTGTACTCGCGCTGCGCCGCACTGCACCGGCAGCGACGGTGGATGCATTTCCGTTTCGTAATATATCCAGGCCACTTTGTACTATTATTACCCTGACGCTCTAACATGCCGCGCCGAGGGGGAGGGGACGCGCCCGTCATAATCCGATCGTTAAGTCAATTACGATGACGCGTCGATTGCGAAACCGCGGGCTGTTTTTATCTCGGAAGGGCGTCTGGAAGTTCGTTAATTCGAGAGTACTCGCGTCGTAAGAGCGCCGCGTTCACGGCGGGGGTATTATCGCAGACGCGGTCGGCGCTGTTTTGAGATAATTGGACGCTTTGAGCTAACAGAATATTTATTCCGGTGGCAAAGAAATCACGAGTACAAGTGGAGTACAAGAAAAGATTGAATTTAATTTGAGAAATCTCCTTGCCGTCGTTATCGCAAGCAATGTTTATTATTAATTTAATTACCAGCAAATATTGCTGACACTATAATGTGATTTTTCACACCAAATTATGTTCTTAAACAACGATTTATTATTTCATGAATTTTTTACATCCTGCTAAGATAAAATTCCTTACAGTGTAATCAATCTTATTTTCTTTAATTCATAACTAAGAATTTAACTCAAAATGAAACGCATCATATCGAATCTGCCAAATTGATGTTAGCGAGGAAACTACAGGCATCCAAAATTTGCTGCTAAACACGTCACATTTGAAGAATACTGTAAAGAAATTCTGATCTAGACAGCTGCAAGAGAGTTGCGAACAGGCGGGTGAACGTACGTTCTTTAATAGAGACCTAGTTTTAAAAGTGGCGATATACAAATTTAAATCACTATGCCGTGTCACATTAATAAACTCGAATTCTTTCCATGCTCTAAAGGTCGATGATCCGCCTCTCCACTGTAATCCTTACAAAACTAGGTTAATTTGATCTTTCGCGGTGGTTTTTGATTATCTTAGATTAAAAAAAAGCGTCGAAAAATAAACAAAGCGAAAGCGTAGAATTTTTTCCGAGAAAACATCGAAATTAAACGTGTCCAAAAATACATCATCAATGTTTGATACGATGATGTTGTGGGTCACTCTTTATTCACAATCAAGCGCGGCTACGCGTGCGGATGTAAAGACCGGCTGACGACGACGTGTCGTTTCTCAACGTTCATTCTCCTCGTGCCGTTACACAAGCGAGCCCGTTATGCGGAGAGAGAAAGTGCGGTCGATGATATTGTACTCGCCAGGAACACCAGTTGTGCCTAAATAAAGATAACAACGATATACCCATCTAAAAAAAAACAAGTTGGACCGCTCAAAAGTCAAATCTTCATCTGACTTTTCTAAAACTATCAAGTTTTTCCTCTCGCTTGGAGGTGAATTGGTTTTTGCAAAAAGGCTGAGGAGAGGAATTATTTACTTAGTTTCAAATTAATGTCTATTTTTTTATTTATTTTGATGAATTTTATTACACCTGATAAAAAATTTCGTAATTTTTATAGAAAAATATCGCCTTGTTCATTATCGAACATCCTTGAAAAATACAAAGTTGGATATTTGATTCGTCGACACCGATGCGATTACAAGCATGAGTGGCGATGTCATTTATAGACCATCTTTTTAAACAGATCTTTCTCGCTATACAAACACTACGGGTGTTAAATCATTTTTGCGTAATAATTCCCACTGCTTTCATTTGTGTTAAACAAATGTATTATGATTAAAAACATCGGAGTCTGTTATGACTGAAAATATTCGTGTCAGCCTGCGAGAGACGGTAAGCTCCGCTATTACGAAGTTTTTTTGAAAGTCGAACGGGAATCATCTCGACCGCATAATCGCGTACCAAAAACTGCGACGCTCGCTCGCCTACTTCGCCGTTAGCACGCAAAAACGCACTTCCTCGCAGATAATAAAAACAAGACTGCCGTGTGGAAAAAGGGAGAGGAAACGGCCGGGGCAGAAGGCCCCGGGAGAGAAAGTGTCATCCCGTTGAAAGGAGTGACCCGGCTAACTGTGCCGTCGTGTGCCTCTCTACACGCGCGCATAACGCGCGTGTAGAGGCGGCGCCAAATGTTTTTGAAACCGTAAGACGCACGCCGCGAGCTCGGCGGTTCACTGACCGAGTTATGACGTCACCGCGAGATACGGTCCCTCCCCCCCCCCCGATCCCCCTCGGTTTCTCTCTGGGCCGTGTTGCCTCCGCTAACGGTCGCGACTAGACGAGAACACGGCGGTTCGTTCGTTGCGAGAGCGTTGCGTCGCCGTTTCGCGTGTGACACGCGCGTGCCGCGTAGGTACGGCAAGTGGGCGTCGCACGTGTATGTCCGTCATCTCTTTCTCTCTCTTCTCTCTCTCTCTCTCTCTCTCTCACTCCCTTCTCTCTATACCTATCATATGTAACTTTAATGAACCGGGAGATATAGAGTTTTACAATTCGATGAGGCGTAGCTACTTAAATTTGTTCATTCGCTTAATGCGCAATGAGTCAAGAAATGAAGATTACCTTGCATGAAACGACGTCGCTTTCATATATTCTTTGTCTCTCTCTCTTCACAATTCTCACTATTTCGTCAATTAATGTATGCATGTCGAAAGCGAAAAGTAATCCAAATGTGAAATTAAAAAGTCAAATGTAACATTTCAAGCAGAAAAAGATCTTTCGTATCCACTTAGTTTTGCGATTTTCCGTTTCTCAACGCAACGACTCGCGTACATGCTCGCACGCACGCACGCACACGTTTGTAACGACATATTTATTCAATTAGCGACTAAACGACAAAGCACATATCTGTCCGTGTCCATTTTCCGCGGAGATCTCTTAAATCCCCCAAGTGCAACGCGGCGGTAGAGTGCATTGGCTTCTAGCCCGCATTTGCATTCTCCGCGATCTTTGCGTACAGGGTGTCCTCCTAATTCCCGCCTACCGAGCGCGTGGGCCGTGATGAATATCGAGTGAAAGGCGCGCGACCGTCTTGGCACGGCCGATGCTTGATTTTCGTGGAAATCGAGGAAACCCTACGGTGTTTTGTCTCTTATTTCGAGATACCAGGTACACAGAAATGCATCCCCGCGGCAATTGTCTCGTCTCAATGGTGCAGCTGTGCTCGTTTACGCTATTTCTTCCATGTGCGATTATATAGTGGATGGTTGAAATGTGATGCTCTTAAATTTTGAATGCACGCAAATAAATTATTCTCTCTTATTCCGGTGTCATAATCACGCAATACATATGCGCACGCGCGCATACTTATGTCAGCATACTAATAATATTTCTTTTTATATGTATGTATAGAAATAAGGGCATCTATAATTAATTTCAACAAAAATAATATACCAAAATATATAACAAGCGTGCAGCATAATATTCCGTTTGCATTTAGGAACAATATAAAATTCTCGATTCACTTTCGTATAAATTCCAATTTTAACTTAATTTTTAAATCTTGAATTTTTAAATCTATGAATCTCTCTTTAAAAATTTATGAAGAAACAAAATTAACTTGTCAAAATGAACGTTGATCGCACGCTTAGCTTTTGACAAGCTCTCTACGAGTAATAATATTAATATTTCTAATAATTGTAATATCAATACTTCATGGATTTCTTAGTGAACTTACCTCGAGCGTCTGCCGTAAAGTGAGATCGGGAAAAAAAACATCTTGTTGTTGTACGTAGCAGATTCTTCTGCGCCACCGTTTGGTGAGCCTCTCGCGATTCAGCCAGATCTCACCGCCGTCCAAGCCAACACGGCCGGACAAACAGTTCAGCAGTGTTGTTTTACCACAGCCTGCGTAACAAATATGCCAGACAAAAATTTAGCGCCTTCGCGTATTGTCGTACAAGCTTGTTATATTTCAACGGACATATCTTTCACATATCCGCATCATGTTAACTGTCTTTTCCGAACAGGTTACGTGAAATTGTAAGACCGTATAAATTGGGTGAAGTATCTTTCATTAACTTAGACGACTTAAAAGTACAAAATTTTATACTATTGCATCTTTATTGGTAAAAGAGCGATTTATTACTTAAGATAATACTTAAACATTTTTTAAACGGTACAAAAATTTTTCATTTTTCAAATCTTTAAATTTTCAAATTAAATAAGTCTTTAACCTCTTAAATTCTCAGGCACCAACACCTTGTTTTCTTCCAGAATCAATAAATTATCAAGTGCAATCTTTAAATACTTGAATTTGTTTTCCCGATCCAGAAACCGATAAATTTATACAGATATTTTTCAACGTTTCAGCTAATAAACTACAAAGTTTTCAAAGCAAGCCTGTTGTCATAAGACTTTAATTCTATTCCTTGTATTACGGGAATACACGACGCCGGAACGTAACAATAATTAAGATGGATAAATTTCTGCTAGACACAAGCAGCGTAGGATACGTCGAAAATGAATTTTCTCGTCGTACAGCGATAAATATTCCAGTCGGACAAAATTGCCGGCTGGTATGTATATATTTCGCTGCTGCGCGCATAAAAGCGGTTAAAGATAGCAACGCAGATTTAATTCCACGCGACGTCCACGCAACACTGCGCGATTAAGATTCGCAAGGAATAACGTGAAATATGGAAGTGTTTGAGAACTCGTAATTACGGCGTTGTCGGGAGATAAAAAGAAATATAATTATTACGAAAACGCGGCACAGAATAAACATGAAAAACTGCATATTACAATTTGACATTAATTTGACATTAAAATTAAAAAAAATTCTCTTGCTATGTTAATTAATTTCCACCTGTTGGTTTTCATTCAAACAAAATTTATTACGCGTTTTTCAAATAATTTAATATATAGAATATAAAATAAATATGATCCAAATAATTATTGTTATCTACTTAAAAGTATAGTTCTGAGATAAGAAAAAACTTTATTGTGTAATGCGGTGTGTTCGCGATTATAATAACAGGTGGTTCGACATACCTGAAGGGCCCATAACGGCCAATAATTCGCCTGGCTTGACGACTCCCGAAACATCTCGAAGGAGTGCTCGCTTCTCCTTGACCACCTGCAATCCCCGGAAGATTAGCTGCACCGGACGAGAATCCAGCGGGCACACCAACTGCAGCGCTGAGCTTTCCACTCTGCAAACATTAATATGTCGCACTTTCAGAAAGGCTGTTTCCTTATATTTATATTCCTGACCTACATTTTTTAATATAAAAATTCGAGCAGTTCTTACACGGCGTTAATATATCAAAAAAACCGTTTCTAAAAATAAAACATTATCTCTTTAATGTAATATAAAGCAATTATTTGAACCTGAACTAAAATTCGTCGGCGTGTCTTTGATGCGACCTTTGATACGACTGTTATAAAATCTCAAGACTATTATATGCGTTCCGTGCCGGCTGGTTTCGTTTAGAGCCTTTTACTTTTTGCGTGGTTGCAGCGAAACATTAGCATAGACTCTGCAAGCGAAACTACGAAGTTATCGCGCCTCGGCGCTAAACGTGTTAATTACGTTCTCCAGATCTAGATAGCCGCACCACGCGACTAAAGTGTGTTGGTAAAAAACAAAAGGAAAAAAAACATGTTGATTGTATGTCGCGACGCTTTTATTAGAATGCGGTGCTAGCGAGATTAACCCGAATTTAATGTTCCGCGAAACATTCACGAATATCCCATAAAAGTTCACTTTAGCACGGGTTGGCGAATTTCGGTGGATCTACGTCGTAGGATCCTGCATAAAGTCGTTAAAGCGAAATGACGTGGGTTCTAGGCATTTACTCGGCCGCGTGAGTACGCCGCGAGGAACAAGCTTCACAATAACAATGACATCTCATGGGAGTTATTTCGCGACGGCAATTAAGCCTGGCGTGTGTTACGCCGAGAAATTGCGTTTCGCAGTGTCGAAGAGACTCGTACTGGAAAATCTTCCTCTTTTCACCTGTCGATTACTTTCCCTTTTATTCCCTGAAAGGTTTCTCTGATTCGTTCAAAATTTTATTAACATCATCCTTTTGTGAAGATCCGTTAACTACATCTGTTCACCTTTGACAATTTGATGTTCTTTGTCGATGATGCTGCAATATTTTATAAAACTGATACTTTAAAGTTAAAATAAGATGGATTAACAGAGATTATGAAACAAATAAGTAACGTTTCGGAAATAAAAAAATCTCATTCAGGTTGTTAAGACTGGGACAAAATCGATTTCGATCAAAACATTCCGAGAATACTTTCAGTTCGCGTAAAATCCTGTTAAACTGAAATTAATCTCACAATTTACAAGTGGATTTGCAAGAAAAATAGAGATAAACAATAGAAAAATTATCAAACAATTTATTACATTTTAATTGAGACTGTATCCACGGCTTTAAAAAATTGATAAATATAAGAATAATATGCGAAGTGATATCATTGCAATAGCATTTCGATATTCGTGCACGGCACATATGTGCTTTTGCGAAAATGCGTTATCTTCCACTTGTTTGTTGAGACTAAAATACATTATTGTATATAATTATAACTAATATATGTTATTAAACATTGGTTAGTATGTTTATCCACTTAGAACGAAAATATATTATTATATATAGAATCCAGGATTATTTTTATTCCGCAAAGATAACGGTAACAAATTTCGGAACGATAAGACACTTGCACAAAGCATGCACTCGCTCGCTTATGGCGATACGACTCACGCGTGACGAATGCCCATCGCGAAAAATCGGCGACACGGCGGGACGTCATCCGTGACCGCATGATGACGGCGCGCCGTGCATGACGGCGTCTGTTGTCTCGACGCGCCAGCGAAATCGGGAAGAAACTAAGCCAAGAACGCGCTTAAATCGCGGTGTACGCGAAAAAAAGAGCAGAGGTCATTGAACAACGAACTGAGATAATAAATTCCCAACATGGCGGTGTCACGTCATCTCTCGAGTTCGTTGAACCTATCGTTCGTTGCATGACGGTATTCAGAGGGAGGAAAGAGTAGCAGAAAAGGGGGAGCGAGAGGAAAAGGAATGAGAGATAAAGAGATGTTTATTGTGCGTTTCGGGACAAAAAAATTCGCAAAGATTACATAATACTTGGAAAATGGATACCACAACACTGTGTCGTAAATAAAAATTCGATATAAGTGATTCGATGTGATAAAAATAGTGATTTTTTCTTAAAATTTTTATTTTAAACACTTACATTTCTCTTCCGTTAAATTGAATATGATTGAGAATGATAAAAGTATCATTATATTTTTATAGGATTGCAAAATTATTGCCACTTCTATTAAAATTTTACATTTAACTTAAGGCCGATTTTTTCATAGTAAAATGATCAGTAATTTTACTTTAATCCTTCTTTTTTCTTTCTTTATAATTTTTTCACATAATAGTTTAATTAATATATTTTTTTATTAATCTAGCGTGAGATATTTGTTTAATATAATTGTGGATATTCTTGTTACTATCACGTTTTACGCTTTAAGATTTTACGATAATAATAATAGCACCTAAACGAGTACCGCCGTCTCTTCTCATTTTTCAGGCGTTTCAGCCCGTGACAGTATGACAGCGTTTAACATTCGGTATAAAAAGACAGGTAAGGGGAGGTGATGAAAGCGGGAGAAGTGAAAAAGAGGATAAAGAAGCGAGGCAAAAAGAAACAGGAAGAAGCTCTCGGCGAGATAAGAATGAAATGAAGAGAAGAGAAACATGAATTTCGTTTGTCTGAGTGATATTTATCGCTCTCGCTATTTTGTCGAAGGTATCGCCGACTTGGTCGTAATAACGCACAGTTTATTCAATGTCACAGATATATAGGCGAGACATTCATGATGCCGTAAGAGGAGAGATGCAATTATCTTCCGTGCTCAAGTGTATAAAACCGATAGCTGGTCTCAACTCATCCATCGGGAATGCAATTTCATAACGCGTACGCGCGTGCAACTCGCCATTATAGCGATCACACGGTTTTCGCATCTGAATTGAGGGGTCGCCGCGAAGCGTGACCGTTCAATCACGCGTGAATGATTGCGCGAATTAATTTCACCACCTCCGCGAAGTTAATTCTAGATTTCGCCGAGCGGCCGAACACGCGCACCGCATAAACGATGTTCTTTTAATTGCCGTGACGACCCTGCTTGCCGTTCGTGTTCAGACATTTTTATATCTGCTCTCGTATTCGGGTGTCAAGCCGGGGTCGCGCGAGGTTAAGTCTGGTTGAAGGAAGTTACGAACGCTTGCCAAATTAATCCTACGCGAGTTCGTTGACCCGGCCGCGACGCGCCGGCTTTTTTCGCGCTATCGCACGCTTTTTCCGCTTTCGCACGCGCTAAATGTGACGCACGCATGCCATGCTTATTACGAGAATACGTTCGCGATTGTCGACCCTCCTCGATTGATAATGAATTCAGAATATACATATTACTTGCATTTTCTATTTTTAGCTCACAAAGAGATACCTGATATTCAAATGTTACAAAATTAATACAATATATGAGAGAAAAATTATGATACTATTTGCAATGCGTTTAGATTTCTCGAAGAAAACACAGGTTTTTCTTGAAAAGTCTTTACTTTTCTAAGATATTCAAATACATGATTGAAAAGAATTTTTTAAGCTATAAAACATTAGTTTTTGATATTTTTCGTACTTCTCACATTTGGATTTCATTTTTAATTTCCATACATTGAAGCGTTTGTAAAAAAAATCAGTAAAGAGCGGCATCCTCATCGGTGTGCTTTAACCCGTTGTATTCTTTTCGTCACTTTCACGGGTTCATTGTTTCAATGTCAAACTGGGGTCTGCCGGGTTAAGCTTCTCATCGAAGAAAGTTGAATTCACCAAATTAACCCTGCCTGAGTTCGTTGAACCGATGTGGAAGATATACGCGTAATTAATAACTGGATCGCATATCTTCGCGATCTCCGCTTACGTGAGCGTAAAGTGCACCCTCGCAGAATGCTACATAAAATCGATAGTTTTGACCAAGATGCAAATTAATCTATTATGGTAATATCGTTTCCCCATCTAAGCTAAACTCATCAGATAACGATAATACTAATGCAAATTTGTATTATTCAGTGGATATCTAATTTTATATAACGAGAATTAAAGCTCTTTGTGCTAATGCAAATTAAATCTTTTTTTTTTAACGTCAGTCGAAATACAGTTTTGTAACAGGCGGTAAAAACTTTAGACAACATTTTTATAATGAGTACCTTCATCACTCGATAATTTCTAAATTTTTTCTCTAGATTCTTTTTCTATATAACGCAAAATTTATCTTACGAAATCTACTTTTTTCTCCGAATTCTTCTCGGGATTCTAATTAAACACGATTCACTTCATTGTAAGTCATCTCACCGCGCAGGTTCGCAGAAACCAACTCGGAAGAGAGTTCATCAACTCAATGTCGAATAACAGTGTGGTATAAATCAAATCGAAGAAAGTCGCAACCTCAATTAATTAACCCCGGTGACACGGCGGTAACTCGTTCGCAGGGTTCGTTGAACCGAACACAAGCGGGCGAACTCTTTGGAGGGCACTTAGACCACTCACCTGATAAAGCCGCTGGACAAACAACAAGCTAGTTAACGCGTGCGGAAAGTTCGGATTAGTCCTGGCTACCGGCTATTGCCAAATGGGCAATAGATAAGCTCACTTGACACAACGGCTTGAACAACGACCGGCCAGTTTGGAGTGGCTTTTCGAGAGATAATCCAGCGGAAAGAGGGAATATCCTGCTCGTACATCCTGACTAGACGCGAGTAGCGGTTGTGTCCCGTGGGATATTTTTTTTTTCCCGCGCAGCGGGACAGAATCGACACGCTGATAATATTTTTTAAGGCGCGAAAATGTACGGGAGCGAACACGCGATAGAGAATGACGTAAGCTCGAGCTAGGAGCCTTCGTTCTTTTATGTGAAAAGTGTCTAAAGACCGCACGGCGAGCTATCTCTGTGGCTATCTCGGTCGGAAAGTGGGACAGCGGTGTGTCCAGCTCTTCTCACGAGGTTTTATCACTTCGCTATCGTCCGTAGCTCGCAGTAAACGCCGCGGTAGAAAGTACGAGCGTTTAGTGGTCATATATCTCAGCGGTGTTCGCAATCAGATAACGCGCAATTATATGCAGATCCACG